CTATGGTATTAATGTAGTAATTTATGATTTTTTTTTTTTATTTTTTAAAAAATATAAATATAAAAAAAAAAAAAAATTTTTTTTTTTATTTATTCAAATGTATATATACAAACCTAAAAAAATATTTTCTTTCATATCCCCCATGTGCAAATTTTTTAAAGGCTTAGCAATCTACATCAAGCAGCAACAAAGTACAAAGGTCGTAACTAGAAGAGAATTGTTTGCTTTACTGTTTTAAGAACTTATTTCAAAATAGGAACAATCTATATACATTATTATACATGGGTTTATATATATATATATATATATATATAATGTATAATAACTGAAATGTGACTGTATTTTACAAAATACTAGTCTACTAAAACACAGCCAAGACAAGTTACTTTGTACAGACCAAAGGTCAGTTTTATATAATTTCATAGGGTAACATGAGTGCATGTCATTGTAACTTCTGTATTGTTAACCAGGAGTGGCTGAAAGGTCAATATAATAAAAACAATAAATAAATATACATAAATGTATAATGTTATGAGATTTCAGCTATTTAGTCTAAACATTTATGTTTGTGTTATAATTTGTGTTCATTCTAGAATGAAAAGAGGCATAATTTATATTTATTTCCTAATTTTTTTCATGGTGGTTGCAAAATCAGTCAAATCTACTGAACCCATACAGAGATTAATTACTGAAAATATCAGATAAAATATGAAGTTTTTCCTTAAGATAACTTTGATAACTATCTGGACATTATAAAGATTTCACGTGTGAAATTTCACATATGTGATGCATAAAAGTATTTCTAATTTTAAAATGAATATTACTTTGCATGATAGATAGGCAACATGCGAAAAGAAAAAATGACATGAGAAAAACATTGCTTTATAAACCTTAAGTCTTAGTAAAAAATTGATATTTTGCATATGAAAGCATTGCAAGGTTCACTGATAATCTGCCAAATTTCATTAACATTTGCTTACTAATTTAAATGTTATAGTATGAAAACTATAACAAGCACAAAATGGTTACGATGTCAGTCCCAGGGACCAAGCTCATGCTGAAAGTGTTAAGGGAAGACAGATAGTTACACTAGACTCATGAAAATGTGCAGATTTTGGTACAGTTTACAATTAACACAACATACAGGTGAAGAAATATGCATGCTCTGGGTGATAGTAGACAATTCTTGCTTGAAAAACTATGCTACTGTACAAACCTGTTGGACCACAACTTTAAGAATTAGTGGCAGTCTGTCATGTTTACTGATCTCACACCAATGTTGCCCTTGTTTATACTTACCACAGCTATCTCAGCTAATACTGCCACTTGAAGTCAGTATATATATATATATATATATATATATATATATATATATATATTATTATACACTAACTAACTAACTACTACTAACTACTAGTACGGTTACTACTACTAACAAACTAAATTAATTAATTATTACTAACCAACCAAACCAAAC